TAACTTTACTCGAAATTCTGAAACAAACAAACAATTTGTTGCGATAAGTACAAGTATATTGAAGTTAAATAATTTTTAAGAAGAATGAAAAAATAAAATTATTCTCAATTAGCTGATACAATTTGCAAATTAAAAAAAAAATCCATTATAATACTTACCTAAACCACAGGTGGGTTAGATGTGTTGTTATAATACTCACCTTAACCATATCTTTGTGTTAGATGTGTTGTTATAATATTCACCTTGACCACATCTTTATGTTAGATGTGTTGTTATAATACTCACCTTAACCACATCTTTGTGTTAGATGTGTTGTTATAATACTTACCTTAGCTACATCTTTGTGATAGATGTGTTGTTATAATACTTACCTTAACCACATCTTTGTGTTAGATGTGTTGTTATAATACCCACCTTAACCAATCTTTGTGTTAGAAGTGTTGTTATAATACTCACCTTAACCACATCTTTGTGTTAGATGTGTTGTTATAATAATTACCTTAACCACATCTTTGTGTTAGATGTGTTGTTATAATACCCACCTTAACCAATCTTTGTGTTAGATGTGTTGTTATAATACTCACCTTAACCAATCTTTGTGTTAGATGTGTTGTTATAATAATTACCTTAACCAATTTTGTGTTAGATGTGTTATTATAATACTTACCTTAGCTACATCTTTGTGATAGATGTGTTGTTATAAACTTATCTTAAACCAAAGATATGTTAGATGTGTTATTATAATACTTACCTTAACCACATCTTTGTGTTAGATGTGTTTTTATAATACTTACCTTAATCACATCTTTGTGTTAGATGTGTTGTTATAATACTTACCTTAACCACATCTATGTATTAGATGTGTTGTTATAATACCTTAACCAATCTTTGTGTTAGATGTGTTGTTACAATACCTTAACCACATCTTTGTGTTAGATGTGTTGTTATAATACCTACCTTAACCAATCTTTGTGTTAGATATGTTGTTATAATACCTTAACCACATCTTTGTGTTAGATGTGTTGTTATAATACCTACCTTAACCAATCTTTGTGTTAGATATGTTGTTATAATACTCACCTTAACCACATCTTTGTGTTAAATGTGTTGTTATAATACTTACCTTAACCAATCTTTGTGTTAGATGTGTTATTATAATACTCACCTTAACCACATCTTCGTGTTAGATGTGCTGTTATAAAACTTATCTTAAACCAAAGATATGTTAGATGTGTTATTATAATACTTACCTTAACCACATATTTGTGTTAGATGTGTTTTTATAATACTTACCTTAATCACATCTTTGTGTTAGATGTGTTGTTATAATACTTACCTTAACCACATCTATGTATTAGATGTGTTGTTATAATACCTTAACCACATCTCTGTGTTAGATGTGTTGTTTGAAATAAAGTTTATTTTCAGACCCCCAACCATTCTGGAAATGTTTGTTTATTACATAACGTGCAATGATATATATATATATTTGTTGTGTTAAACTACAGTTACTTATAGTACAGTTAGCTGTAAGTTGTATTTGTACGCTTTATTAATTATTGCGTAATAATAGCTTAAGATTTGACATGATGTATATAATCCCTTTCATACACGTTGTCCTATATTATCCGTAAAAGATTCGATGATATTAAACGTTTTTAATACTGATAGCTTCTTCCATTTGCTGGTCTTCTCCTCGCCTCTTTAATCTCTTTCCGTCATTGTTCATATTTTTTTGGAAAACAATGTTTGATTGTATAGCATCACACAAACGCCAAGAAACAAGATAAAACGATATATTTCTTGTATATAACAGAATTTATTCTCCTAATTCATGTTTACATGAACAATTTTAAATGTACATAAACATACACGTACATATATATTCCTTTTAAGCATACACACACACACGTTATGTATTCTTATGATACCAAATATATATATATATATATAAACATACATACATATATGTACCTACATATATAGTCAAGTAATATAAATATTAAAACAGCAATTCAAATGACAATACAGCATTACTTTATATTTACGTTTCAGGTAACACTTATTTCCCCCCTTCCTAGTGACTCAGCGGTAAGTCTTAAGGCTTATAACGCTACAAATCGGATTTCGGTACTTGTGATAGGCACAGCACAGATTACCCAGTGTGCAGCTTTGCGCTTGACAACAAATAAATAGACAAAACAAGAAACACTTAATTTAGAATGTCATTCAATTAATCGGATAACTTGTACTTTATATATATATATATATATATGTTTGAAACCAGTGTTTTACCTAAGTTTGAAAAACCTAATCATTTGTGTTAAGTAGTCAAATAACCACAAGAACTGATAAATTATAACCCAACAGTAGGACAGTAAAATGTGAATTGCAACTAAACTGAGTAAGAAAGAGTAAATGTCACTATCGTTACGAAAACAGTACTATATTGCTAGAGTAAAAGTTGTTAGCAGCCATTTTGCCAAGCCTCAAATGTTATTTCTTACTAGTTCTTACTTTTACGATAAGATGGCGCTTTTTACTTCTCGTCAGCTTAGTGAAAAGGTATAGAAGCATAGTAGGTGTTTTCATAAAGTTTTTCTACACCGTCAGAGCTGAATAAAAGGGCTTTACCTATAATATTACCAGTTGGTAAATAAATTTAAGGATTAAAAAAGTCCTGTTTTTCTTAGCATTCAGTTGAATATTGAAAACTATAACATTTTAAATAAAAAATTTAAAAAAAATGGTCCGTTTTGCGTAAATTTTTTTTAATCAGGTTTTGGAGACTGGAAGTGATATTGTTCAGTTTTTCTCTAATCGTTGTGCAATTCACACCAGGATGTGAATAATCAGTAAAACACTATGTAGTTATTGTTTAGTATTATCAGGTCCGTATAGGTTGTAAACTTATGTAATAGACTAGTGTCTCCAATAACACATGCCTGCGAATTCAAACTTCATAAAAGTTGTTTTGGTTTTAATAACGGATTTTCTATAATTCAGCGACGCAAATTTCGAAAATGATATTCATTTTTTCTATCACGTAAGGATTTTTTTACAAATCGGGAAAAAAACTGTTATTTAGATCAAATTATTATTTCGTTTATCACAATGAACATTTTTTTTATTATTATGTTTGTTATGTTTAGGTTCTAGAACGATCGATAAGACTCTCACGTCGCGATTGGTCTGGAGAAAACTATAGCCAGTGGTTGTCAACATTTTTAGCATAACAAAATGTGATCCGATTTCAATGAAAATGATTCACTTATGTAAAAGTACCTATGACGTTTTGTGAAAAATCTGTACGTGATGGATAAAAAATGTATATCATTTTCAGATTCGGCGTACATAAATTACTGTAGAATATGTAAACATTTCATGACAGTAAAACCATCGCAGACCTGTGTAATCAAGTTCCTACTCGGCACTTGGTGTATCCATTTGGTTTACGAAATTACTATATAAAGAAAGAGTATGAGATTTGAGTAAATCGTAATATTAGGAAGATACCCTAGGTAGCCTACAGGTCAAGTAAAACATCAGTACCAGGCTTATCTGAAATTTAAAAATGAAGACCAGTGTTAGAAAATAGTTTGTGGTACAGAATTTCTGCAATTTGACTAAGCTTAAATAAGTTTGCTCGAGAGGAGAATTTGGTTTTTCTTTCGTAATAACAAGCAATACTCTATTGCCAAAACTAAACAACAGCAGGTAGAAGACACTGTACATTTATTTTGAAGTTATGACAATATTTCGAAGTTAAGACTCTTCATTGGGTAGTGCCTAAAATTCTTATAAAAAGTAAATGAGAAACAAATTACAATATTATAGTGTACTATCTAGTCAGACCTTTTTCAAGTTCTTTTTTGTTGCCACCTAAGCTACATGAAAGCATAAGCGTCGTAAGTTTTGTGTACAAATAATGGATTCAATCATTATTTTAAACAATGTAATTTCTATCTACTTTTCCTTTTTTTTTGTTGATTCCTAACGCCATTAGAGTGTTTTAATTTTGTTTGTTATTAAGCACAAAACTTCACGGTTATAGAAACCCGGTTTCTGTGTCACTGGGGTGGCATTGAATGTATTGGTGAATCTACTAAGAAAACAGTGTGAAGGATGAAGTTAAAACTGTTGTTGATCTAAGGTGACTGAGGGGAAAAAGTGTCATTTAAGCATACTGTAGATTCTGGCCATTAGATACCAATACAAACACATTTTAACTAAAGTAAGTAAACAAATATTAGAGCTCTCTGTCTATTCTATTATGCTACTGTTTTTTATTGTTATTTTTTATCGTTGTCTTCCCATATTTTACATGTTTATTATACTGGTAGCATAATATTTTCCTGAACCATTCTCCTCTGTCTTCATAAATACATTCATTATTAAGAATTGGTCAAACTAAGCTATATATATATATATATTAAAACAAAAATATAATATAGCTTAAATAAAACAATCGGGTATATATAACAAACTAAAGTATTTTCATCCTATAAACCAATACACAAAAAAATCCATAATGAATAGATTGCAATTTGTCATATTCATTTTAATGATATATTGATTAATTAATTGAAAAATCACGGGTTATAATTATATTACTATATTTCTATCAAATATGTACAATTTGTGTTTGCCTGTACTGGTGTTATAAACACTTATGTCCTTCTTTATTCGGCCCAGTATGGCCAAGTGGTTAGGGAGCTCGACTCGCAATTTGCGGGTCGCGAATCCCCGTCACACCAAACGTGCTCCCCCTTTCAGCCGTGGGGGTGTTATAATGTGACGATCAATCCTACTCTTCGTTGGTAAAAGAGTAGCCTAAAAGTTGGCGGTGGGTGGTGATGACTAGCTGCTTTCCCTCTAGTCTTACACTGCTAAATTAGGGACGGCTAGCGCAGATAGCCCTCGTGTAGCTTTGCGCGAAATTCAAAAAATAAACAAACATTCTTTATCCATTCAGGTTTATAAAGTTTATTTTTCAACAGGTCGCCGCGGGCCATCCCCGAACGTCTTCACAGCAGCAGAGTACCGTGCCTGGTTGAGCAGAGCGCCCTCCACCTCAGCTATATACGAACGGGTTCGACGTGGCCGGGGAATGACCCAATTACAGCCGCTGTCTAGGATCGCACACAGCGCCGAAAGCCTGCTGGACACACTGCGTCAGGTGATTAACTTTCGAATCCCGTTTATTGTTAACTAAATATATAGGAGGTATATTTACTGCTCCTTATTCAATGTTTCTCTTTGATAGTGTTATAAAGTAGTTTTACTTTTTGTTTTGTTTTGTAGTAAATATCCTTAAGTAGCTTGATCAGACACATTGCCTTTCGATAATATATTGTTTTAATAAATCATTCTTGTTCAAAGATTTTCTCATTTCTATCAATTATCAGTATGCTTCTCGTCAGCGACGTCGAAAAGATTGCAAAACAGGAAGGGGGGGGGGGTCAGCCAAATGAAAAATATCTGAGTGAGTCAAATAAAATTACTGTCTAAGTTGCAAAAAATAATAATAAATCTGCGACAACATGACATTAAATTTTCAAAAATTATGTGTGATGCATTACTATCATTTTTTTTTCCGAAATAGAATTGTAACTGAAATTTTTACATTTAATTTCCTTATGTATTTTTTATTAAAATTTGCTTTGGATGAAATAATCAGTGGTGTAGGAAAGAGCTGCAAAGTGTGGGGTGCTTGGCTAGACATTCAGATTTTACAATGAGAGATTGAAAGTATAAGGAGCTGCTAACAGCGGCTCGATCTGAGGGGGAGTCTGGAAATATACCCCCAGAAAATTAATATAATAATAATATAATTTACAGTTACTATACAAGACAAATAATGATAATTGAAATAATTGATAATTGAAAAAGTCGAAATTTTAGCCCTAATATTTTATTATTTAGCCCCCTGTTGGAATTTTTATTCAGGTTGTGGCTATAAATATATTTCTCGTCCGCGCAGAGAAAACTTGTCAATAGACGATACAAAATCGGAAATGTGTAAAAATAAGAATTGCAACAATTTTCAAGCACACATTGGTAAAGGTTTCGTTAAAAAATTATCCCTCTTGCAGTTAAAAGTAGAGGGATAATAGCCCGTTGCTTCTTCCCCGTCTCTTATCCTTCCACCAATATGACTCTTGCGTACGTTTCTAGTTCTTCTGCTCAGCATTCTGTGTTCAGCGTTAAAATCAACATCCACAAACTTTGTACATAAATATGTAAACCTCCCGATGCTACGGCTACTGTTTAGTCTTCTTCTGTGTCAACAAAAATAACCTCATGTGCGAACTAAGCATATTTATCAAACCTGATAAGAGGATAAGAAGCGTAGTAAGTATATCACCCCAATCGACATCTACTTTAACTATATTATTAAGTCCACCTAATGCTTGGTGATATACCTCGATGTATATTACTATTCGTTTTGTAATTGGACTATTTGACGTTTTTATATGAAAAATATGAGCGATATTTTAATCGAATAGGCTTCATTTAGGTGTTTTGTTATAGGTATGGTCTGACAAGAGATCTGTAGAATAAATATAGCCATACACAGATAGTAGTAGCCTAGTTAACATAATACAACAGCTGCATGATAAAATCTGCTGTAAGCCCGAGAACGCAGTCCATGCTATGAAGGTCTGACCTCTTTGTTTGAAAAATTTCATGTTTAAACAAAGTAGTTTAAGACGTGTGTTGTTGGTTTTCCGCTCACTCTCGTGTTTCGTAAATAACGAGTTTTGAAGCATATCTGGCTATTCTGGTTTAATATTTCTTGTTTTATGTAGCTCATCTGAGACGTTTCTTGTTCTTCTGGTGATAAGTTTCTCGGTTAAGTAACGTGATCGAAGGTGCTTCTTGTTTTCAACGCAATGTAGCTAATCTAAACCATTTTGTGATGTTCTATAACAATTTTGTAATATTGCGGAATTTGAGACGATTCTTATTCTTTAGTTTGTTTGTTTGAAGTTATGCACAAAGCTACACAATGGGCTATCTGTGCTCTGCCCACCACGGGTATCGAAACCCGGTTTTTAGCCTTGTAAGTCCACAGACATACTGCTGTGCCACTGGGGGCTTTTATCTTTTGATAATATGTTTCTTGTTCAAAGAACGTGATCTGAAACGTTTTACGTTAGATTAACCCCATTTGAGGCGTTTCTCATTTAAACATCGTAATCTAAAGCGTTTCTTGTTTTAATAACTGTGTAAAAAAATCGTATCACACCACGTTACTGAAATTACATCTGGTAATCTAAATGACTTGATATTAAAAGATTATTCAATTTCTTTCCTTTTTTTTGTTGTTGTGTTTTTAATGCTTGTTCACACGACTTTTCATAGTCATCTCAGTAATGGGTGTACAACATTTATTCGAACTTAATGCTCTGTTTCACAATTTTTACCGCCTTGCTGTGAGCGAGTACTCTACTATATTAATACACTTTCACTTTCTTTAATAAACTTTCCTCCTCCCAGATAATCCTATGTGCTAAAATTCCGACAAGCAGATTAAAAATGTAATTTCAATTTACAGACTATTTCAATTTTATAAAAAGCTGTTTTGCTGAAAATCTGTTTTCTACAACCAAATACTTTTCCTACTGAAAGCTGGTTGTATAGATTTTATCTACGAACTTGTGGTAATAGAAGAGCATGTGTTTGTGACAATAAGCTGCTGGATTCGTGGTGAACAAGTCATTTCCAAGGCAAATCTCTTTGTAAGAAAAAACTTCTTAAAGCAGCATCCATCCTGTACCACAATGTCCTCCCGTATCCTGTTTGGTGTTATGTGGTTAATAACTTAATTTAACGTCTTAAAGTACAGAGTAAAAACTAAAAAAAAATAAGCAAGTAAACAAAATGCACTCGAACATAAATTTAAATTTCTCTTTTGTAAACCTGTGGGTCTGAGATTATTTTTTTAATAGTTTCCTCATGTGAACCTACACACATTGTGATGAATACGTTCACTGTAAAACCTTATCATTAATTCTAGAAATACGATGATAATGTGTTTCAATTCCAGCTTAAGAAATCCTGAATCAGTATACACGTAATGATTGCTAGACAATAACTATTACATTATTATAGTTTTAACATCAGAGTGCTTGCACAATTTACAGCATTGATATCGGGACTCACTTTAAATATCATCAAACTCTCCCTTATTCGGTGGTCCTAGCCAAGATATTAAATAAATTATAATGGACAGGAACATCACATTCACCTAAGGTGTTTATAACTTATAAGTATATTAGACTTAACCGGTGATCTTAGGCTAGTATGTTCATTTATACCTGTTCATAATTTTCTTTTGGTAGACCCAATGTAACACTGTTAACAGCAAGGAGACGTAAGTTTATAAACAACAAAAGAAAATTGTAAAGATGAAATTTGGTCCTTAAATTTGAAAAAAGAACTAAGTCGACAAATAGGTTTAAAAAATGTACCTCAGCTCTATCTGCGGGTATACCCTACGGATAGCATTTTTCAGTTGATTCTTAATAATCAATGAATATCTATCCATTTAGGGTAAAATAATAACCAAAGCATTTTTAGGTACATCAGAAATACAGTATGTAGCAATACTTCGCTTATTTGAGAACAACGAAGTATTCTATCAATGAAATTACTTGGATAACCATTTTTACACAAAAATTCTTTGATATTCAAAAACTTATGTAAACCATCATATGTGATATATATCTCATAACCTCATAGTATTTTAACTATATTTTCTTTAAAGATATTAGAAATAAAACTTACAAAATTAAAATAGTCCTTTAAAAGATTTTTATGATAGACTTCACATTCAAAATGTCCATTATTATCATTATTTATAAAACTTCCAAGAATGGAAATCTATGATCCTCTTGGTTTTCAACAGTAAACTTCAAACTGCTGTGTCGACTGTAAAGCATTTTAAAATTCGGGAGACCTGATAAGATTTGTTAAAAATAGTAAAGGTGTCATCAACATGCCTGCGATAGTAAAGGGGTTTAAACTGTTGTGGGCAATTATCTAGCCATTATTTTTCATGGAAACACAAATACAAGTTGGTAAGAGAAGGAGCTAATCTTGAACCCATGACGACACCATTATTCTGATTATACAGCTAACTAGTGAAAATAAAATGAGACTCTTTTAACAGCAAAATTAAAAAAGAAAAACATGACTCGGAATACTTACTTCGTTGGAACTATCGTTGTAAGTCAAATCAGCGCACAGCTGTACAATTTGTTACTTGAATTTTGCGCAAAGCTACACGAGGGCAAATCTGCACTAACCGTCCCTAATTTAGCAGTGTAAGACTAGAGGGAAGGCAGCTAGTCATCACCACCCACCGCCAACTCTTGGGCTATTCTTTTACCAACGAATAGTGAGATTGACCGTCACATTATAACGCCCCCACGGCTGGAAGGGCGAGCATATTTGGTGTGATGGGGTTCGAACCCGCGACCCTCAGATTGCGAGTCGAGAGCCCTAACCACCTGGCCATGCCGGGCCTCAGCTGTAAAGTCTCTTCTGATGGTACATATTAGTATATAATGATTCAATGTCAAAACTAGTACAATAAACATTATTAATAAATTTCAGCTACTAGGCTTCATGACAGAACCCAAAACGGTCTTTTGAGGTGTATTCATATGTGCTGGACTTCTTTAAAAGATCTACCAAAAATCTGGTGAAAGCGTGATTATAAGTTCCAATATTGAACAGTATTTTTCGTGAGGTGTATCTTGCTTTAAGAACTTTTGGTAACCCAAAGAAAATTCCTGGATGTCTGACTCCCTGTTGGTTTAATATTCCGATACTGCCCTTCATTAAGGATGTTATCTTTCTTCAGTTGTAGCAAGTTTCATTGTAATTTAGTCGTCCTCTCATCAGTAGGTCGTATTGTAATATCACAAATTTAGTAGAATCACTTACAATTTTTCTGCTTTTCATAAATATTAATTTTTACCTAGAATAACAATACTATTCCCTTTATCTGACTTAGAAATAACAATGCTATTACCTTTATTTGACTTAGAAATAACAATGCTCTCATCTTTGCTAAGTTTTTAAAGCTTCAAGTTCCTCGTAACTTAAATTTAAAAGAAATGTTCGTAATTACTATCATAATTATTAAAAACACTCAAATCTAAACCACTAATTTCAATTCTAACATTGCTAAATGATTATTCTGATTCGTTCCAAATATGTGACATATTTGCAAACATTTCATGTTTAATTATATTTAGAATACTAAATTTTAGACCACGAAATAAAACTTTTTTCTCCACATCATTTAACATATACTTAGCATAATTAACTATCACTTGATCAGGATTTTCTATGAAAGAATTTTTACCTAACTGTCGCCTCAAAATATTAAATTTATACAATTGTCTGTTTTTAACCTTCACCAGAATTTTATTATTTTGTACGTACATAAAATTTTACAAACGTGTGAAAACTAAAAGAACTTTTAATTTCAAGCAATTTAGATGCCTCGTTTAGTTGACTAGTTAACGATTTGATTAACTGATTTTCTATCTTATTTCAAAATTAAAAAGAACTTTTGAAGTTTCATAATATTGTCTCGAATACTGGAATTCTAGAATAGAAACCTTAAAGTTAAGAAACTGTTTTGTGTAGATGTAACTGATTCTTAGAAAATTTTAAATGTGGTTTTTCAGTGTTTCTAAAATTGGCTGACATTGATGTATCTTATCTGTGTATAATAACTTGTGAAACTGGTTTATTTTGAGGAAATTTTAAATATAATATGAATGCTGCTACTAAGTAAGCTATCACCCACATAACTAGCAAGGTTGCTATATTCAGTGCTGTTATTTTAATGTATTTCACTTTGTTGGGTTATTTTTCTTCTCTTTTTGATTCTAATTGCCTTTTTTTTTCGTTAGAAGACCCTGCCTTTCTGCTCTAAATTTACACGCTAAATTCTATATAAATATATATTTTTAGATGTGACTAGTTGGGTATTACAATATTTACATGGGTGGTGGTTTCAATATAAAACTTTCACTTTTTTTATAATATAATATAATAATATATTATTTTTATATCCTATAAAACTAAGGAGACAAGAGGTAACACACCCAGAAGCTAAGTAAGTTAGAAAACCAAATTAAAACTCAAAAATAAGAAGTTTTAAAATAACACAAATAATATACATATATAAAATACTATATAATTAGCCAGAGCCAATGATGAATAGAGCCGCCGAATGAAGGAAAGTTTGTTGTTATTTAAACTGAGGTTCGGATCAATGTTCTCAATTCGGCTAACATTCTAGTGCTAAAACAGTATGCGCGTAGCTATGAATGTTGTTTAGGATCTCAGTTTTTGTGCAAAAGATAAAAGTTATTTGCCCATTCGAAGTTATACAGTGAAGAAATTCGGGGTGTGATTCCTGTGGTGAATACAACTCAAATAGCCCATTGTGCTTCACAAGAAACGAATACTTAATGAATTAAAACGCAGCTGTGCCTAAAGAAAATCAATAAGTACCATGAACAACTTTAATGTCATAAAACTGGTATCACGGAAGAAACGCATGAATTAAATTAACACCAGTCTTCTCGTGAGAAGTGTTCACTGTTGCTATCCGTCTTTAGGCATTGCACTGAATTCTTAGATAAGACAATGAAAAAAGCTGTGGTAAGTAACAAAGTTCAGTTCCTTGTTATGTATATAACATGATGATGTGGCATTCCAGCGCTTTTTCAACGATTCAAAATTGGTATTCAGAATCATATCATCAGCGTCATATCCCAAGAAGTACATTTTTAGCAAAATATATTTATAGATGTAAAACAAAGCATGTGTATGGCAGGTATTAATTACATTAAAATGATTTTATGCTCAAACATTTCATTTTGTATATATATAGAGCAGTTCTATATAGAAAATGATGTTTATACTTCACAATTTACACACATTTAATACGACACATTGAGCTACAGTTCAGTACAAATGAAAGCTACTGAACTGTTACAGCCTTGGCTTTCAGCGCCATCTAGTACAAATGGTTTAGGTAACTATATGACTCGAGATAGAAACCAAAATGGATAACTTACGTTTTAAATGCTACATCATGTACATATTTCTTTTCCAGTATCTGGGTTTACTTGTTCTCACTGGGAAAGATCAGTGTAAATCTATAAGAGTCAAGAAAATTCATAATATATTTTTTTGATTTTTATGACATACACGATTTTTTGAAATTATAATGAAAATGAGGATTCTTGCCGATATATTGGGTCTCATATTTTGTTGTTGTTTTATAATATATCTGAACTTCTACAATTATTTATTACTTATAAAAAAAACAGAAAAACATCAATCAAAATGTTGCAGTACTTCGTAGTTTAACACTTCAAACCCCGAAAGCACACTTCAAGGGAAAAAAACAACTATCTTATCTGTTTACTATTTTTTATGCCCCAGTGGCACAGCTGGTATGTCTGCGGATTTACAACGCTAGAAACTAGGTTTCGATACCCGTGGTGGGCAAAGCACAGTTAGCCCATTGTGTAGCTTTGTGCTTTACTACAAATGAACTATTTTTACGCATCGTAGATTCCGATAAAAAAAAAGTGTTCAGTTGCTTCATCTTTAAATGGCTCCATCTATAATTTTGTAGATATTATATATGGTACTCTTCAAAGGTTTTTGAAGTTTCTGAAAGTGCGTGTAGAAGGAAACTTTGTTTTTAACTATGTTACGAATTCATTTCTGTATTACATCATTTAGTAATTGTTATCTAAGATTTTACAATGTTATAACATTACTACACAATTAATTATAGCAATTCCTTTTCGTAATCAGGAACAGCAGGCCGGCCTTCACTCCTCGCAAATTCAAATAAGGCGGTCCCTCTTACGTCCTGGATCTGAAGAGATAGCCCAAAATTCCCGATTTTTACAATCACAAAGTTTAGAACAAGGTCGTCAAGTTCCGCATCCCACTCCCATCAAGCCATCAGAGGATAGGATGCATTTACTTACTCTTAACCCTCGAGAATTCTTCAAATACAGACCTGAGAAGGATTCGGAAGCAGTAGTCCAAGCTGACAATTTTAGCGGGTTGCTGTGGGTCCACCTTCTAGCGGGTCGAGGGCTAAGACCAGCCGGTCATGCTGACCACTTCCGAGATTTGTACTGCGTTATCGAATGTGATTACGTACATAAAGCCAGAACAGTCGTGAGAACAGGAGACCACAGCTTTGACTGGGACGAAATATTTGAGCTGGATTTAGTAGAAAACACTCAAATAGCGTTTCTCCTGTACAGTTGGGATCCCCATTCACGGCACAAACTGTGCTATAAAGGCACGGTTCACTTACTGACGATCCTACGAGAATCTCCTGTTCACAGTCTTGCCCTCAAGCTCGAGCCACGTGGCACCCTCTACCTCAAAATTCGTTACAAGGATCCGCGACAGACTTTTCAAAGGCTCCCAGAATCAAGTTCTTCTGGAGTGTTTGGGGTTGATTTAGAGACGGTAGTCGCTAGAGAAAGTACCGGCATTGGCATCCCTCTAGTAGTGAAGAAGTGTTTGGACGAAATAGAGAAGCGTGGATTAGACACTGTAGGAATCTACAGATTGTGTGGGTCAGCAGTAAGAAAAAAGGTGCTAAGAGAGGCATTTGAACGAACTACGTGGATGGTAGATTTATCCATGGAACACGTACCAGACATTAACGTTGTTACTAGTAAGTTGTACAAGTATAATTAAAACATAATGTTTGTTGTCAGGAAAAATGACGAAGTTTAACATAACTAATATTGGATACATAGAAATATAAAATTGATATTTTTCATGCAATATTTTTCTACTCTGGATAATTAGTAATGTTGAAAAATAAAAATTGTTTAAGATCGTGTAATACACCAAAAGATTTGATGCACTTGGTTTTTGCTGTTGCGATACATCACCCAACTGAATTCAGAATAAAACATAGTACATTTAGACACGTTTTGCTCAACTGTTTTGTAACTAATATCGTATGAACCCTTTTGTGGTTACTTTACATTTTACAGAAACCACCAATTTTAATTATTTATTTTACTAAACGTTTTATGTAAAATATCAGAGATATCATATAATAGTCTTCTTACGGAAAGTAATGGAAAACTTTCTGTTTCTATACTTACGTATCAAAAAAAAAAAATCTAAAATAAAATAAGTTATTTTTGTGTCTCCCATCAGGTGTCTTGAAAGATTATATGCGAGAAATGCCCGAGCCGCTGTTTACTAAAGGTCTCTTTGATATGTTAGTGGACGGTTTGAGTGTCTGCCTTCCAGACGACCCTGAAGGAAACGCCAAACTTATGTTCAGTATACTTGAGTGCCTACCTAAAGTTAATAGGGTAAGTTAAAACTCATTAAACGTAGCACGAATGACAGTCTAGGTGACATTACCTGACTCTCGTCGTGCCGCCAAATTTCGTCATGCCTAAATGTTTACTTCTCTTTGACCGTAATAGGCATGCATGTGATGTAAATGGGATTATGTTATAATAATAACATAGACAAGATTCTACACAATTCTAATGAAGCACGAAAACTTTCTGTGGGTAGGTTGGTTAGATTGGTAGCTTAAATAATTTTCGTCCTGTTTTAAGGAGAAAAGGGGTATAGTATTTGGACAGGGTGAGGCTGAATATGACACATAAGGATACAAGATACGATATAATTTGAACGGAGTGAAGGATCTTGCAACACATTGCAGTGTTCGATATTTTCTTTTAAAAAGCACTTAAGACCGAAAATAAACGATACACCAAATTCAAGATTTATGAACATCAGCATTAGCTAGCTGTACAGTGAAAATACACTGATTCGGACATCACTATAACGACAAATTCGAAGAAACCGGGTGAAACCCTAGCACTTTCGACAGGTGAACTTTTCTTCAGGGGTAAAGGTAGGTAACAGGTCCACTTTTCGAAAGCGCTAGTGTTAAATCATTTTTCTTTATATTTGTTCTTTTAAACAAAATGTATTCTTTGTGTGCGTGTGTGTGTGCATTTTTGTTTTGTTTTTTACAAATATAACTGCGACGACAGCATATAGGTTTCAGTGCGACTTACAAGAGGTATGAGGTAGTGAAGAAATATAATGTAACGATTTTCTAATGCCTTAATTCATATATATATGTTCCATAAACTTCTAAGCCTGTTCGCAATGTAGCTTTATCATGGAGTAAGATAAAAATCCAATTCAAAGTCGTTTCCATTTGTTCACGTTTGATGTTAGAACTTGTTCAGTATAATGAGAATTCTTATATCTTCCATTTTCTTATGACACTTCCCGTGATTAGTGTTTACTTTATTCTTATTCTAGTGCACAGTCCTAGTGCTAATGGATCATCTTAAGCTAGTATCCAACCGCAGTGATAGAAACAAGATGACATCACATAGTTTAGCCATGTGCTTCGGACCCGTCGTTATGTGCCACACTGAAACAGGAGACTCTGTTGTTGACCTCCGCAAAACAATTGATGTCTTTAAGTATCTCCTAGATATTTGGCCCGCCAAAAAAGGTAATTAAGCTTTAAATACATTTAGAAGAATGTAATAAATAATGAACCACTCAAATAACCACTCGCGTTTATACAATTCAATATGTCATTTTTTTCATGCCAAAATAAAAAGCAGAAATAAATATTTCAATAGCGGTTATTGGGTAATTTTAAGAACCAAATTTGCCGTTTACATCAGACTTGTTACTGTTGTAACGTCGTTCTTTCCGTAACAAGTTATTTTAAATTAGCTGTTGAAAATAATTCAACATCTAGTCGCCTTAACGACAATAAATTGCTTTATTTCTTCCTTTACCGTTTCTACAAACTTGTACAATGTCATAACTTTACTGTAGGCCTACGTTACAGATGACGTTAATTAACGTAAAACAAATCACCTTACTTGTACAAAGCAACTGCGAAAGTTAACACACTGACTGGTTCAATCTGTATCTTGGAAATAACTCTTCACACTTCACAATTATTTCATATTGTTACGTCTCCGTTTGTTAATTGATTTTTCCGTAACTTCGTTCCAACGAAACTTTAACGACACAAGTC